AGTGTGGTCCTGGAAGGAATTAATATGTACAGTGCCCTGGCTGAGGTGCAGGATGATGGCGCTACGTGTGTGAAGCCATGTTGACAGGTAGCGCGGCCTGGCCAGCTAACCACCTTCCCGGGGTGTGATGCTGGCCCCGCCTTCAGCAGTCCTTCACTTGTGCAATTGCAGAATTGCTCAAGGAGAGTGATCCTCATCATCAGGGAGTTAGGGCGGGAGCTCGCAGTGAGGTAGGACTCTGCCCTCACGCCCTGTGTCCTGTAGACTGTCATTGAAGAGGATGAAGTAAGTTGAGTCATTAAAGAGGACTCCCATACTACAGTGTAAAAGCACACACAAACAATTCCCCCAAGAACCATAGTTCATTCTCTTCCTACTTTCTCCCCCAAAACTAGGAATTTATTTTTAGCTAACATTTGTAATTAGCCATCCATTTGACACTCAACTGGAATCTATTTTGTCATAGTATAAATTTGTGAACATTTCTTAAACTCACATAAAGTACACATTTTCTACTTCATATCACAGTAAACCTGTGTAGACGTTATAGGAAAACGTGCATAGTGTCTTAGGTTTTGAACTAAAACCAATTATGTTTTGATTTTCAGATAAATCCCATGTTTAGAAATAAACATTTTGCAAATGATCTGTTGAATTAAACTTTAAGTAATTAAAATATAAATAAAAATCAATAAAAACACAAGTGAGGTATACATTGTAGCAAAGATTAAGTGGCCCATACCAGCAGCAGTATCCATAGGTGCTGGATATAGTCTATAAACCTTTTATGTGAGTTACATGTATATAATTATTAAAAACTCAAAGTTTGGCCACGTGGTAGTAGTGAACACCTTTAATTTCAGTACTCAGGAGGCAGCAGCAGACAGATCTCTGAGTTCAAGGCCATCCTGGTGTACAGAGTGAGTTCCAGGACAACCAGGACTAGATAGAGGAACCCTGTCTAGGGGAAAAAGAATCCTCAAAGTTTTCAAGTGTTTACTCACTTAAAAATAATAACTTCGAAGCTGCCCACAGTTGTGCATGCCCTAGCTCTTGCTCACGCCCCCACACCTCCTGAGAGAGGAGGGTCACGTGAGCCTAAGCAGCACAGCAAAGCTGTCTCTTAACAATAACAGCTCTCACACCCAAAGGGGTGGCTCAACAGTTAAGAGCACTGGCTACTTTTGCTGTGGATCTGGGTTCAATTCTCAACACCCACATGGCAACTCGAAACCACTCTAGCTCCTGTTTCAAGGCATCTAGCTCCCTCTTCTGACCTCTGGGCACTACACTCAAGTGATACACACAAGAAAAAACATACACGTTAATTTTTTTAAAAGTTAAATAGTTTCCAAAGCATGAAAAGACTTATTGGGAAAGGTGGCATTGTATTTTTTTTCCAAAAGTTTGTCTAACAGTGAAGATGAATGATTCTCACCTATTTTTCCATTCTCTATGTTGTAGGATCACTTACCTTACAGCCACTAGAAGACAGTTCTTTTCATCTGTGAGAATAGAAAAGAAGCATGTAACACTGTATGATTAGGAAAGACATTGTGACAAAGGATTATTTGGAGTCATTTCCAAAGGGCCAATACCTGGCCAAACATGGTAGCCCACATCTGTGTTCATAGCACTTAGGAGATTGAGGCAGAAGGATTACCTTGAGGTCATGGCCAGCTTGGGCTAAAGAATAAGACGGTTTTAAAACAACAAAGTCTGTCCCTGCCACCTACCTACTACGAACATGGTTCGCTGTGTCGGAGATGGTGCCAGCTCCAGATGGAGCCTTGAGTGGTTTGTAGGGATTTATTGTAACGCTGCAGGAATCGGTGCTAGGCCTGAGTCCTGTGAGAATCCACCCTGTATACTTCACCACAGACTCCACTGACATGCAGTGTGTAGACCCCACTTAGCTGTATCCTCTTCCCAAGTTTACTCAGGCTACCCCCTTAGAGCCGAAGCACTCATGACGTAGCCTGTGCCGTGCCTCCCATCACAGATGAGGTAGGGCTGGGAAAGAGTGAATGAGGTTTGAACTCAGGAATAACAAGGCGGAACCTATGTATGTCCTGGCTCAGCCCTTTCTTTTGCAGTCTTATTTAAAGACACCGTCCTCCCTGGTTCCCAGCCTTCCACATGCCACACCTTTGCCTTCTGGGTGGGTAGTGTGGAATAGAGGATGAAAGAGAGCATTTTCATTTTGTCCTTTACAGCAGATACATAATAGAAAATTAAATATTTATTGTCAATAATGTTTACACGGAGCCCTCTTTAGTAAAACAGAAATAATTATGTTCTTAACAAAAAAGAGGGTAGTAAAATCGATGATTTTTGACTTTCGGATACAGGCAAAAACTTTGGGTTGTTAATATGTCAAGAATCTCTAAGGAAATGTTTCCTATAGGCCTATCATGAAACCTTTCTGTCTGCATCATTGTAAATGATAAGCAGTTCTTTATATTTTTATGAAAGGCCTCTCACAAGAATGTTTCTCCTGTCTCTAGAAAAAAGAAAAGAAAGACAGAAAGAAAGAAAAGCCTCCTTTGTGGATTTTCCAGTTTGTCATTAACCGGAAGCTACAGGGCTTTTTTGTGTATCCTATGGAGTACATGCCGGGGAGACATTCCAATAGGAAGGGCAGTCATCAGCAATAACTTGTGTTTTTCTAAACTGTGAAAATGTTAGTGTGAATGATGTTCTTAAAGATAATCATCTGATAAAGCTTTTTACTTGAAAATCCAAAGCTGTGAAATTGCTAGACTCCTCACTACAGGTTGTCTTTGGAAGAATAAATTGGAAGGAAAGCAAAACTTAAAATAAGTGACCATCTTAGGAGTGAGATGCAATTTGACCCAATTCATTGCTTCAGATTTGTCACCAGTTATTTTGCAGATAAGATGGACATACAGGAGCACCTATCTGATTTATACATCCTAATCTGCCAGCTAGATTACTGTGCACTCTCAAAGCTAAAGTAATCTTACCTTATCATGACTTATTCTGTACACCTCATGTTTGCATACATTGACAATGCAGTATGTGTGTATTTATTTTAGTGCCTTAATATATTTTTGATGTGGTATTTTGCTAATGGTTAAATGAACTGTTCTCGTAAAGATAAAATGCTGTTCATTGAAAGGATCTGTTAGATAATTTACACTTGTTATAAAATAGTATATGTGAATGCTTTTGTCATTTTTTATCTAAGTCATTCAGTTTGAGAATCAATATTATTTATTAGATGCCCTTTCTTTAACCAATGTTATTTTCAGTTGATGCTCAGAAATGTGAAAAAGTGATATTTTAGTACCAGTACAACGGTTGCATTTGTTCTTATGACATAGCATGGAGCCTTATTAGTATACTCCTTTGTTGTTCTTTGCCAAAGAACAACTACTTCGGTAAAAAGTTGCTTATCACACTGGATCCTCAGTTAGAAGTGGCTCACTCATTACATTTATAACTTGGTCTTTGTCATCTGTTTTAAATTGTTTTGGCACAGACAACTCATACTCATAATTCATACTCATAGAAAGTTATACAGATATTCTAAAGGTAATCTTTAATGTATTAAACTATATTTTTCAACCAGGATATAATTTTGGAAACTTACATCTCCTTGAAAAGGAGCTTTGTCTGGGGGGTGGCACACTGAGTTCCAGGACAGCCGCAGCCACACAGAGAAACCTTGTCTCTAAAAGAGATGTGCACAGCCAGCATGTTTTTATGTCCTTAGAGTCCATCTGTACATCTTTGGAATATCACTTTATGTGTCTTGTTTGTTTGTTTTTCGAGACAAGATTTCTCTGTAGATTTGGAGTCTGTCCTGGAACTTGCTCTGTAGACAGGCTGGTCTCGAACTCACAGAGATCTGCCTGCTTCTGCTGGGATTAAAGGCATGTGCCAGCACCGCCCTTCGCGCGCCAGCACCCAGCACACTGTGACATTCAGAGCAGAGAAGCCGTGCAGCGATGTCGTTTTCTCAGAAACTTATGCATTTTAAAATGAGATTTTTTTCTATTAAGAGAGTTGTTTGTATATTCCAATATTAATGCTTTATAATTTGTGAGTGTTATCCCCCACACTTGGGAGAATATGATTTTCTTGCCACATGTGATTATTTGCTGCAAAAAGTTTGTCATTTTGCTATAGAGCAGCTTGTGCTTGTATCCTAATACGTACATTGCACCTATTGTTGCTGAGCTTAGAGTCACATGGTCTGTGCCCCCAACAAACTGGGTTGAGCAATCCATACACTAACTCAGAGTCCAGTGGATAGTGGAAAGGGAGGTGTATTCAGTGTGAGCAACCAGTTGAGGAGAGCAACCAGAGGTTCCAAAGACTCCCAAATCCATCTCCAAGAGGGAGTGGAACTCAGCAGTCCTGCCCAGGTGGACTCAGCAAGACTGACAGACAAGTGGCGATCTTTCTCTAAGAAGTTCCTTCTCTGGGTGCCCAGGGCCTTTTTCTCCCAGGAGTTTTTTTTGTTTTGTTTGTTTTTGTTGTGTTGTTGGGGGGTGGGGCCGACTAATTTCTGGGGTCCATTTTTTTCGGTAGTCTGATAATACAAGGCAGGCTGGTCACTGTTTTAACAAGGAGTTTTATACAGTGTGGTCCTTTGCGTTTTAAATCACTTCTGGGGTATTGTTCCCACCACACTTGATTGCACAGATGTTCCTACCGGTAGTTACCTATAGGAAAGCCTGGGAAATACGTACTTCAAGCTGAAAGCCCACTCAGCTATAATTTTAGTTTGAGCAAGTGGAGCGTATTGCTTCATTTAAAGAATAAATTTGTTTGCCGGCTTTCACAAGGCGGGGGGTGGGGGTGTTAGCTGAGGGTTCCTGCCTACAACAAGGCTGCCAAGAAAAGAAAATCGTCCCAGAGGAGTTGGCCACTTTTCTCAGACTCGTGGCGATTGACAGCTCCTCCTTGGAGAGGAGAACTGGAAGCTTCCTTCAAGGTCCTGGGTATTCAGGAACTGCAAAGACCGCAGGGGTTCCTGAGGGACCGGCTGCGTGCTGGCCCCGGGCCGCGCCCACTTGGCCTGACCCACCCTTCACGAACCAGCGCGCAGCCACATTCAGAGCAGAGAAGCCCGTGCAGCATGTCGTTTCCTCAGGAACCCACCCCGGCTCCCGTTGCAGAGCCTCACACCGAGGAGCCGGACTCGGTGAGCTTCAGGAGGGCGAGAGGGAAGCGGGGCTGCTGGGCTCTCCCAAGGGCAGGGAAGAGAGGCACCAGCCACGGAGTACAAAGTTTGCTGCCACTGGGACACCCCAGAGAAAACAGAATGGCACTGGAGCCCTGACATGAAGCATCAAGTAGGCAGGAAGGAAGGATCAGTCAGGTGTCTTAGTGTCCTGATCTCAGACCTCTGCATGTCCTCCTGGAGGCCTCTTCAGCCCTGGCCTCCCCCAAACTCCAGGCAACTCCTGTGGAATTAGCCTCCCTCTAAAATCCTGGTGCTGCCCAAATACCAAGTTCTTAGAAGGCTGGGTATCCCCCACGTGCACGGGTGGGAGCTTTGGAGGTGTGGGGAGTGGGCAAATGGGACCCCAACGTGTTATTAGGCCCTCTGCGTTCTTTTCGTGAGTAGAGCTGAGACTGGCACTGATCCACCCCAGTTCCACTGCAAGGTTTTTCTGCGGCATCAGTAAACTACCACCTCCGCCCCTTATCTCCATTCAGGGTTTACTGTCAGACAACTCAGCAAAAGAAAACCATTCCTCAACCAGGAGACCCCTGGTGCCTCGGTGTGCCTGTAGTCCCAGTTCCTGGCTGAGGCAGGAGGATTTCTTGAGGTTCTGGGAAGACCTGAACAGTCTTAACAATCAGAAAAGTTGGGCAGAGGGTTTGTCCAGCATGGTAAGACTCCTATGCTGGGGGCAGGGTGGAGTAGGAGACCCTCGGGGGACTCTCATCTTCCAGAAAATTCAGGGAATCGAGGCTGTGTGACTGGAAAAAAGAGAGAGAAAGAGAGAGAAAGAGAGAAAGGAAGGAAGGGAGACAGAGGACGAAAACTGAGGCTGCCATGCAGCTCCAGTGTTTAATTATCCTAATACTCTGAAGTGTATAGATCTGCACTTTTCTCTTCAAGAAACTGAGGTTCATCGCGGCTAAGTGCCTTGCCTAGGTCGCAGCCAGCTTGTCAGTTTGTAAAATGTAGATTCCATGGACTGATGGGGTTAGGTGACCAAATGACCATTCCAAAGACTGACTCACCTCAGTTTCTGCTGGAATTTGTTTGACTGGCACTCTGTTATCTAAAACTCCATAGGCCCTTGTAGGGGGAAACTAGACACTCATTATGGGATGAGAATTCACTGACACTGGAGTCTGCCACCTAAATTTTTCCAGAAGTTGCAATAAGGTTCACACAAATGTCAAAAAAGTATGCACCCAGCCCTGAGAATGGTTTTTCTCCTGGGGTAGGAAGCTTGTATGGAGTGTGTGATAAACCTTATCTGGGAAGACCTTCTTTTCCGTGCAGCCTGCCTGTGGTGCCTACAAGATACTGAGATAGGCAGAGTCCTAGTTCCTTTGCACCCCATTCCTGTCCTCAGGCAAAGGAAGAAAAACTGGTTCCTAGCGTTATTTGATCACAGAACACTTTATGATGTCCTCCTGGCCACTTACTGCTTTAAAAACATACTAAGCCCCTACTGATCGCGTAGGTACTAGAGGCCTCATAGTGAGTCAGACATTTATGCTCTCAGCTTACGTGAGTATGCCAGACACTCTGGGCAATTCAGAGAACTGAGCTGTCAGGGAGGGAATGCCTCTGAGGAAGAAACATTTAAATGGCAAGCAGCAATCAATTCTTGAAATTCTTGAAAGACACAGAAGAACCTTCTAGAGAAATATACATATATACACACATACACACACACAAAGTATACACAAAGACCCTGAGGAAGCAGTAGTCAAAAGGTTTAAACTATAAGAAACTTCCACGAAGAAAGCTATTTGAAGAGAGGGAGGGAGTGGGAGTAAAGTGAGCTCCTGCAGACCATTTCCAGGACTTGGGTTTTTACTAGACAATAAAGACAGACAAGTTATTGGTTTTAAGCGGACAGCAGACATAGTCTGATTTATGTTCTTCAAAGAGCACTGGTTGCTGCAGGGGGAGTGGACTAGCGGCAGGGGAGCCACTTAGGAAGCTCGCCTGACAGGGGAATTGGGAAAGAGAGGAACCAAGGATGACAAGGTTGTGGCCACTGAGCAAATGTCAGTGTTATTTAATGCCATGTGGCAAATGGGGTTTGGAGCTGGCTTCACAGTGGGATGGCAGCAAGGACCTGTGTTTAGACCATGGGACTGTGAGCTGGCGATCAAATGTTCATGACTCGGCTGAATGGCTGAGGGGCTGTGATAGTCCACATTCCAGGATCTTAGACTATTCTGTCATACTGCTGGGTTGATAAAGTCTTTCCAAAAGAAAGGGGGTAAGGTTTGCTGGTGTCTATGGTGTACACACCCCCATCATAGCTGATGCCAGGGGCTTGCAAAAGTTGCAAACATTGGACGACTGAGTGGGTAAAGATATCTGCCACCAAGCCTGATGATCTGAGTTTCACCTAGGGTCCCCATGGTGAAAAGAGAGAGCATACTGTGACCTCCACATGTATGCTGTGGAGCATCTCTCTCTCTCTCTCTCTCTCTCTCTCTCTCTCTCTCTCACCCAAACATTGAACGATAGATTCTCAGAGCCACTGTCTCGTTCAGTCTTCCTAACAGCCTTGTCAAGTTAGCATCCTTGTCAAGATTGCATCCGATGAGGAAAATGCAGCCTAGAAACAAAGGGATTTGTTCAAGATTACATAGGGCCCACAGCTCACTCTGATTACTGACTCGGACAGAAAGTGGCTGTGGCAGGAAGCATGGGGACGGAATGCAAGGAAGAACTTCCCCCAGGAATGGTGTAGAGGTCATGATTTAGAATTCTGTTTCTTAATTCTCTCTCTCACTTCTCCATAGGGTGATCTGGGGTCAAAATGAGGCTGAGGTTGCTAATGAGCCCTCGAGTTGCCAGGGAATATAGGATTTTTATGAAAGTCACTGGGGCACGGAGCGCTGGTTCATGTCTCTAGGAGTAGGAGTTAGTTCCCGTGTCTCCCCCAGGACAGCAGAGCTGGTCGCCTCTCAGTCTGTACGAAGGTGTGCTATGGCATTGGTGGGGTCCCCAACCAGGTGGCCTCCAGCGCCTCAGCCTTCTACCTGCAGCTCTTCCTCCTCGATGTGGCACAGGTGAGTGTGGGTGGGCAGCCCCCCTGGTCTTTCTACCTCCTCTTCGCCCGTGCTGTCACTTTGGTTTTGGTAGATCGTCCTTTGACCCGAGTTTGGTAACAACATTTAAAAGGGCCGTAGAAGGAAAACTCTTCAAGGATACTCATTACGTACTGCTTATGCTAGGAAAATGAGAAAATAATCAGACACTTGTAATCCCAGCATTCCAGCAGAGAGGCAGGAGGCTCAGGAGTTCAATCCCACCCTCTCGGCGGCATGGCTAGTTTGAGGCCAGCCTTGGCTATATGAGACCCTGTCTCAAAGCTCTCACTGGCTCTCAACCTCCCTAATGCTGCAACCTTTAATACAATTCCCCATGTTATGCTGACCCCCAGCCATAAAATTATTTCGGCGCTACCTCATAACTGTAATTTTGCTACTGTTAAGAATCATAGCGTAAATATCGGATATGGAACCCCTGTGGGGTCGTGACCCACAGGTTGAGAACCACTGCTGTATCTCAAAACCAAAAGGCAAACTAATAAATAGTGATAGAGTGCCTGTGCACAGCCGTCAGCTTTCCCTTCTCCTCACCAGCTCTATTATGTCTCTCAGAGCTTTCTGGAATCATGTCCCGGGCAGGAGCCCTTTCCACAGCCAAGCAAGCCAGACTGTGTTCTCTGACTTCGCGGAGCCTTGACTGTCTTCCTCTCGATGATTTCAGATCCCAGCCGCCCAGGTGTCCCTTGCCTTGTTCGGAGGGAAGGTGTCTGGGGCGGTTGCAGACCCTGTGGCTGGCTTCTTCATCAACAAAAGCAGAAGGACAAGGGCTGGACGGCTAATGCCTTGGTGAGCAGCCCCTTGGTGCTTAGACCCCCGACCCCTCCCTGGCCCTATGTCACTGTCACAGCCTGTTTCTTAGGTGATACCTTGGATGGTTAGAAGGCAAGCCTGTGTGGTGCAGGAGATGAGCTAGGTCAGAATGAGACTCACAGTACTCCAGAGACATGCTTAGAGATTGTCTGTCCCTCATCAGGGGGCATGGGATGGCTCATGTGGTGGAACTGGGCTGGAAAGCCCTGGAAGAAAAGTAACATGCTTGTGCTCCAGAAAAGCACACACAGTGCCTTATATGTGCAGGTCAAATGCTCTACCACTAAGTGAACCCCAGTTCTCCACTGTCTTGAATACAGTGAACGCCACGTAAGGGCCCTGGCCAGAGTCCCAACAGTGAATGTCCCTCCTTCCATTACCTTCACTTCCCTCTGTCTCCGTCACTCCCCAAGATCCCCAGCTCCAGGGCCCCCTCAAGGGGCAGAAACAGTGAGGTTGTTCCTGTTGGGTCCTTGGTGCCCCTGTGCTATAGGCACCATTCCTTAGCTGCGCTTCTACAGGGCGTTGGGCTGCATGCCCTTAATTGCACTGGCCTACTTCTTCCTGTGGTTTCTGCCCCCGTTCACCAGCCTGCGTGGGCTCTGGTATGCCACCTTCTACTGCCTGTACCAGGCCCTGTCTACGGTAAGTGTGTGACCACCCCTCCCTGGCAAGCCCCACTGCCAGATAAAATTTCTATTCAGAGTAAGGGTATTATAGGTTGATTTTACTGCTCTGGGCTGGCTGCCCACCAGTGCTTGGAAACCTATTGCCAACAATATTGCTGCTCAGGGCCTTGCTTCTCAGCCCTTCGCTTTGAGATTCGGATGCTTTAGCGTTTTAGGAGCCTGGATGGGACAGGGTGGCTGCTGGGTTTTGCTTAGCGAAGTGGCTGGGGAAGGAGACACAGACCTTAAGTGACAGTATGGGTGGTGGAGGCCACCCTAAACTCTGAGGGGCCATGCCAGTTCTTCCAGGTACCCTACACAGCGCTCACTATGATCCTCACCCCCAGCCCCAGGGAGCGAGACTCCGCCACTGCATACCGTGAGTACAATTCTGTGTGCTCGGACGCTGTGGTCCCCCAGTTCCTGCAGCTTGCCATGCCACCTTGTACATGCTTTGTCTCCAGGGATGACCATGGAGATGGCAGGGACACTCATGGGAGCCACTGTCCATGGGCTCATCGTGTCCAGTGCCCATGGGTCTCGGAGGTGTGAGGATCCTGTGCTCGCCGGGAGTACTGCTGTGTCCCCAGATGTAGTAAGTGTCCGAGGAACTCGGGAGCCCCTCTGTGGGGTCAACTCCTTCCTCCAGGGATGCTCTTCTGTTGGTTCTTCCTCGGGCGGGGCTGCTCATCCTTTCCCTACCTCTCTAGCCGAACTCATAAGCCCCAACACCTATCAGGTTCTCCACCAAGCCTGTCTGGAAGAAAGGGAGGGCGGGAAGGAGGGAGGGAGAGACAGACAGACAGACAGACAGAGACAGAGAGAGGAAGCAAACCATGTAGCTCAGTAGCAGAGCACTTGACAAGCATGCATGAAGCACTAATGGACTCACTCACCAGACATGGCCAGGACCAACCAAACAGCCCCAGCAAAGGCACAAGCGAGGTGTGGTGGCGCCCCTGTGAGATGGAGACGGGGGGAATAGGAGTTCATGGCTATCTTTGGTTATAGAGTCAGTTTAAGGCCAACCTGAGTTATACGAAACCTGTCTCAAGAAGTCAAAAATCAGTGTGTGGGGGCAGATGACAAACCATTAATAGACAAAACAACAACAATAGAAAACGTAGGGGCTGAGTTACCTACCACTCAGCTGCCAGAGTATTTGCCTAGAACATCTGAAGCCCTTCACCACCTTTCTAAGCCAATGATGGCTCCCAGCTGTGATCCCAGCACCCAAGAGGTGGAGGCAGGCAGATCCCAAGTGCAAGGTCACCCTTGGCTCCATAGTGAGGTATAGGCCAGCATGGGCAACACAAAGACCCTGCTTTAAAAAAAAATCCCATACAAAATTGCCAACAATTTCAGGATAATGAAAGCAAAGAACTGGAGTCAAGCACAGTGCGTTTTCCAGGGTGAGGCCAGGGGAACACACAGAACTCACTGGGACAGCCATTCTGCACTCCCTTCCTCCCCCTCCGCCCTCTGTCCTTTTGGTTGTCATCCCCAAGCGTCTCTTTATCTACATTTTCACTCCATCACACTACTGTTAACTGCCCGTGGATGTGCACAGCCCTCCCTCTGGCCGCCTCAGGATCTCGGACACAGAAGTTACCAGCAATGCGTATTTGCTGACTAAGATGAAACAGTAGGCATGCTGACCTTTGGCACAGCTGTTCCCTTCCATAGAGGGGACAAAGAGTCATCAGATGAGCAAAACTCTTAGGCCTAACTCCGAGCGAACTGGAGCAGCAGAAGCCAGCATCCTCGGGCTTGGGTGAAGGCCTGGAGAGGTACTCCAGCTTCCCTGCCTGGTCTGGAAACACTAGGCTCAGTGCAGTACTGTCCTCTCCCACAGGCGCGCCTCTACTGCATTGCGGCTGCTGTGGTTGCGTTGACATACCCTGTGTGTGGCAGTTTGCTGTGCCTAGGAGTGAAGGAGAGGCCAGGTATAGGGTGCAGTGAGTGTGAGAACATGAGAGACAGGAGCCGGGAGCAGGACTCCTCCTGGGACTGAGTTTTTGACTCTGCCAGTCCAGGTATCACCCTCCTGTTTGTTTTGCAGACACTTCCGCCACAGCCTCAGGTCCAGGCCTGAGCTTCTTCACGGGGCTGGCCATCACTTCCCGGCACCCGCCCTACTTGAGTCTGGTGGTCTCCTTCTTGTTCATCTCAGCTGCCGTCCAGGTACCGCTGGCCAAGTGATCTTTGATTTGCTCTGGCTGTACTTGTCATAGACAGGCATTTGGAATAGGGTCTCGCGTAGCCCAGGCTGGCCCTGGACTTGATATGTAGTTGATTCTGGCCGTCACATCAGCTCCTGATTCTCCTACCGCCACACAAGTGCTGGAGTTACTAGCATTTGTCATCATGGCCGGCATAGGTTTCAGTTTCATAGGGAATGACATGTGACTGAGAGTGTGCTGGGCAGAAAAACCTGGGTGTGACTTGTGTGACCGGGGTTCCCAGGAAGTTGGTGATGTCTGGGAGGACAGCCTCTCATACTACCTGAGCCATAGTTAAGTCCATCTGATCTTAACTATGCGAACAGGGACAGTGCACAGGGAAGGATGCTTGTATCCACGGTGAGGGGAAATCCTTTGAGTTCAAGGACTCATGGGGAGGCCTTACTGAAGACTTTCCCCTTACACGTGACTTCTGATCCGACCAATTCCCTACATACCATTTCCCGTGCATCTCCTCAGGTGGAACAAAGCTACCTGGTCCTGTTCTGTACACACGCCTCCCGGCTACAAGAACATGTTCAGAGCTTGGTGCTAACCATCCTGGTAAGGGGACCAAGGAGGTGGAGGCTGGGGCCCTTGGGAGACTGAGGGAGAACCTCTGTCGTCAGAGGTCCCATGGTCACATTTTGTTTCAGTCCCATTCCAGCAGGGGGTGGAGTTGGGGAATAGCTACTGTTCAAACCAGACAGTCTGAGGTTGGGTGTCCTACCTAAATGCAAGGGTTTTGAGGTCTGGAGAAAGGTGTGGACCTCAGAGCCTGGTGGGATGATGCTGTGTGCTCACAGATCTCAGCTGTGCTGAGCACCCCACTGTGGGAGAGGGTCCTCCAGCGATTTGGGAAGAGGACGTCTGCATTTGGGATCTGTGTGAGTGAATCAAGAAGCAAAGCTTGGGGGTAGCTGAGGAGGTAACCATGGAGCCTGAGCTCAGCGGGGGTTAGATCTGGGTTCCCGTGGGTCAGCTGGGCCTAGCACAGGACCAGGTCGGGGCTTGTCTTGCATCCCAAAGGCTGAGCCTGTTGTGAGAAAGCAAGGCGGGGAAATGTGGAGGACTGGCTCACAGGTCTCTCTCCCCAGATAATGGTGCCATTTTCCATCTTGCTGGCTGCTGTGCCCTCTGCACCTGTGGCCTATGTTGTGGCCTTTGTCTCTGGTGTGAGCATTGCTGTGTCCCTGCTGCTACCCTGGTAGGCTGGATGAAATGATGGGGGATTGGGAGCCCCATACCCTCCAGTAAGGGAGTCTCTCTTCCTCCTGCTGTCCTACTTCTTGGATGGGACCACCACTTCCTTCCTTGGAGCCAGCAACAGCAGAGGGAAACACAGCGATCCTGCTGGGCGCTGTGGGTTGGTTCTGAGCAGAGGTCTCCAACTTAGTCTCTGCCATCCTGAGGACTCACAAAGGGAAGAGGGCTAACCCCATGCACCTGCCCCTAGGTCCATGCTGCCAGATGTGGTGGATGACTTCCAACTGCAGCATCGGCGTGGCCCAGGCGTGGAGACCATCTTCTACTCCTCCTACGTCTTCTTCACCAAGCTCTCAGGCGCAGGCGCCCTGGGCATCTCCACCCTCAGTTTGGAGTCAGTCCTAGGGATGGGGTACACCAAAAGCACAGAAGACCAGGGGGGTGGGAAGAGGAGACAGAACCCCCACCCTAGCAGTCACCCGTGTGCTGCACTCTATGGAGTGTGGCGGACCCCAGCATCAGAGCTAAGGGGCTCTGAGCTCCTTATATCCAATCTGGCTAGCAGTCAGTTATCAGGAAAGGGTGGGGTGACACATCGGTGACTTCTGCACCCAAGGACTCGTGCTCAACAGAGCTGACAAACGGAGGGTGGTGTTTCTCCAGGTTCGCAGGGTATAAGGCAAGAGCCTGCCAGCAAGCAGAGGAAGTGGTGGTCACCCTCAAGGTCCTCATCGGTGCTGTGCCCACCTGCATGATCCTTATTGGTCTGTGCATCCTCATGATTGGCCCCACTCCCAAGACGCCAAGCCAGGACACCTTCTCCCAGCAAAGCCTTCGGAGGTGGGCAGTGCTTGTACATTGGCAGGGTTACCAACCTAAGGAACACACACACACCCTGGTGCCTAGCAGCTAACACCAGCCGAGCCATCAGATTTCAGGCTGCATGCCTTAGCTTCAGTGACACTCCTTGCTCCTAGATTTCCTTCTGTCTCTAGTCTCTATCCTCAGCCTTCTTCCTTGCACTACCTGGTAGGTGGGGGATGTGAGGAATCTCTGGATCTCCCTCGCACCCAGTCTACTCGTGTGACCTAGAAGACCTCACACCAGTGTCTCGTGTCCCATCCACCCTGCACTTCCGCCAAATTCCACATCTAGGTGCATCGCTCGCTGTACAGCTCTACCTGCTGTCCACCAGCGTAAGAAGCCTTCACCTGATCTCATTCTCTCCCTACACTTCTCCTTCTGGAGCCCTGTCTCAGAGAGTGGAATCACTGTCTGCCCCAGTGCCAAAGCCTGGGAGCCTGCTGCTCTTCCCTCCATGGCTGCTGAGTGCCTGCCTGGGCTTGTCCTCCTGTCATACATCCTACCACAAGGAGGATGTGTGTACTGCCTGGCTTTCCCAGGACAGTGCAGGCATCTTACAGCCGAGAATACAGTTCATTAATCCATCTATTCCAGGAGCTCAGCACTGGGCCCAAGGCCCAGTAGGTGCCTATTGGAAAGTGTGTGCTACGCCATCGACATACACCTGACCCACAGATGTGTCTACTTACAAATACATAAGTTGGTGTCCAGGACACACAGGCGGCATTATCCACCTATATGAGAATAATGAGGCCCTTATTCTCATAGCTGGTAGCATCAGCCTTCAGCTAAAAGGTCCAGAGGTCCTGCTGTCCACTCAACAATGCCTAGAGGTTGGGGACTTGCCTGATAGGACCTGGAACTGGGCTGTGGCTTTAGTAAGCCTGTGAGTGGAGAGTTGCTGGCAAGGCATGGAGCAGCCGCTGAAACTTCTGTGACACTCTGTGACAGGGTGGAGACCTCTTCTCACCTCTCTCTTCCTCCTTGGTCTCTTCTCTTCCCTCAGGAGAACTAGCTACAGCCTTGCTTGAGCTAGAAGGAGACTTCTGTGAGGCGAAAAAGCAGAAGCCTGCATTTTCTAGAATTCTCTCTGTCCAGCAACCTGAGCATAGCCTACCAGCTTAGCACAAGGCATTTTCCCTTGCGAGTGGAGACTCTAGAGACCTCTCCTGAAGGGGCTGGCCCAGGCTCCAGGAACCCTACTCAGCACCTCCTTGCCTGTTGACCCTCGACCTTCCAGACTTGTAGCCCAGAGGACTCCACCTTCAAGAAACCTCTGACTCCGAAAGCATCCTGCAAGACTACTTTTGGTGTCAGGAAGCTCCTGCCTACTCCAGCCTGGACACTCCCTTTGCTAGATGGCACAGCTCCACACACAGGAGGTTTGCAGAGTCTCCAGTGGACACCATGTGACGGGGTGTAACATGAGGGCCGGCTTGTTGGGGTATCTATCCCGCCCGGTATCCCACAGCTGGCAACTCCCAAGGAAAATCACACACAAGACTCCATAAGATTATAAACTGATTGGCCCATTAGGTCAGGCTACTTATTAGCTCTTATAACTTATGTTACCCCATTATCCTTATCTACGTTAGCACATGGCTCAGTACCTTTTCCAGCGGGGCAGCTTACATCTTTCTTCTCCGGTGGTCTGCGCAGAACTGCGGAGGGAGCTTCCTGCTTCCCAGAATACTCCCAGTCTCTTTGCTCCACCTCTACTTCCTGTCTGGCTTTCCTGCCTATACTGCCTGCCTGGCCAATCAGCGTTTTATTAAAATATGATTGACAGAATACAGATAATTCTCCCGCACCAACTGGGCAAACTGAGGACACATGCCGTTTTGGGGGCTAAGCAGACCCACCATGGTACATGGGTGTTTGTCCAGCATTTTTCTCTGCTCACTCAAACTGAGGTCACTGCTTCTATCAATAGACAGAGGATGACACAGAACTATCAGAGGTCTTTCACTTTTTACAAATAAATGTAAATGTATTTTCTGAAATTCTGTTATATTAGCATATAATAGGAAGGGCAGTGTTCTAGGGGTTGTATAAATCTTTGGGGTAGAAGTATTCACTGCGGTTGATATTTTTTCAAAAACAAATTTAGCTGGGTGTAGTGATGCACACAGGTAATCCTGGCACTCAGGAGGTTAAAAACAGGAGAATCAAGGGTTCAAGGACAGGCTCAGCTAGGTATCAAGTTTGAGGCCAGTATGAACAACCTGAGACCCTATCTTATAAGCAATCAAAAGTAAAGTTAAAGAGCTGACTTCCTACAGAATGGATAAAATGTGACTGTGGACAGCCCACCATCCCACGCTGCATCCCCTGAGGAGAAGCCTAAGATTGGCTCTTACCCCAGCTATGAATTACGTAGACCAGGCCAGCAACTGCTGCCCTCAACCTAAACCAAAACAACTTGTTTCTCTATTGCTCCCCCCCTCCCCGCTTTGTCATTCCCATCTTCTCCTTACCTGTCACTCCTGAATCCATTAAACTTGGCTCCGGCCTCCATAGCAGAGGAGACAGTGTCGTGTGACAGGGCCAACTGCAGCACACAGAGGAGGAGAAAGGAGTCCGTACACTGTTTCCACTCCTCCCCACAGCAAGTGCTTTCCCATAGTGCTTCCCTTATTTGTTGTTTCTAAAGATTGCTTTCTTTCCTTCTTTACTTTTCTTTCTTAATTTGGTTTCTCAAGACAGGGTTTCTGTGTAGCCCTGGCTGTCCTGGAACTCTATCTGTAGACCTGACTGACTGGCCTCAAACCTGTAGATCTGCCTGCCTCTGCCCTCCAAATGCTGAGCAAAGGCATGTGCCACCACCATCCAGCTAAAGATTTCTTTTATGTGTATCTGTTTGTGCCTTAGTGTACATGTGCAGTAAGTGAGTGCAGGTGTTACAGTGACCAGCAGAGGGCAGCATCGCCCCTGGAGTTATAGTTACAGGTGATTGTAAACTGTCCAGTGGGGATGCTGGGAATCAAACCTTGGCCGTCTGCAAGAGCAACAAATACTCTTGACCACTGAGCCACCTCTCCAGCCCTTTATTCATTAATTTTGTTGTTTATTGTTTGAGACAAGTTCATATGTAGCCTAGGTTGGCCTCAAACTCACTATGTAGCCGAGGCTGTCCTTGAACTGATCCTGCTGCCTTTACCAAGGGTTACAGGTATGGATTATCATTGTTTTTAAAAATCTGAGTGCCCAAGTTGGCTCAACTCCTAGGCTCAAGCAATTCTTCTCTCTCAGCTGACTGAATAGATAGTCATTTCTTCTTTGGACACCTACCTTATGTACATCTCAGGATGGACATGTCAATCAAATTAACAATGCCTGACAAAGTTCCAGACTATAGTGGTTAATACTGATTGCCTACTTGGCAGGAGTTAGAATTACTTGGGAGACAATTATCTTGACAGGTTAACTGAAGTGGGAGGACCTGCTCACTGTAGGTGACACCATCACATGGGTTGGGGTCCCAGGCTGAAGGACGAGAGAGCAAGCAGGGCATCAACATTCACTTGCTTCCTCCTCACTTCAGATGCAATGTGAGCTGCTGCTGCAAGCTCCTGTTGCCATGACTTCCCAACCCTGTACCCCTGAGTCAGAATAAACCCTTCTTCCTCTTCTTTCTCCTCTTTTTTTTTTTTTTTAAATTATTTATTTGTTATGTATACAGCTTGTTTGCCTGTACACCAGGAAAGGGCATCAGATCTCATTACAGATAGTTGTGAGCCAACATGTGGTTGCTGGGAATTGAACTCAGGACCTCTGGAAAAGCAGTCAGTGCTTTTAACCTCTGAGCCATCTCTCCAGCCCATCTCTTTTTTTTGTTTGTTTGTTTGTTTGTCTGTTTTTGAGTCAGAATTTCTCGTGCAACAGTTCTAGCTGTCCTGGAACTCACTTGGTAGACCAGACTGGCCTTGAACTCACAGAGATCTGCTTGCCTCTGCCTCCTGAGTTCTGGGAATAAAGGCGTGGTCAACCCCTCCTTCCTTAAGTGACCTTTATCAGAATATTTTAGCATAGCAACAGGACAGGTAACTAATGCGTGGAGGAAGCCCTTGATGCTAGGCAACTAACACTGAGCACCACACCTCAAAACTCTAGTCTTCCTCAGCTTGCTCTCCACCGCCTCTGACCCTGATGCTCCTTAACCTCATCAGCCTTCCCAGTGTGATCTCACTTACCACCACCACCCATATGCTGCTGCTGCTGCTGCTGCAGACTCCACTTCAAACCCAATGCAATCTGCTGAGCTTCAGCTCCCCAGACCCAATGCCTCCTGAGTGCTTTTCAGGTATTCTCAACATCATGCATCCAAACACAACAAATCCTCTCCATGGAAAAAAAATGTTTGATAAAAACTAAATGCATCCATAATAGAAGAACTCAGCAGAACAGGAAGAAAAATAAATGTTTCTTCCCAACAGAAGAATCTGCCACAATCCTACAGCAAATACCATTCTTTCTATGTGTGAGGCAGGACTTTGTTGTCTGTATAGTTAGTTCAAGCCGGCTTCAAATCCACTGATGTTGGCTTACCTTACTAAGTACTGGGATCCTAGACATATGCCCAGCTTCACAGTTTTTGTTGTTATTTTGTCTACTTTCCAGGTAAGGGATCGAACCTACAGCCTTAAGTATATGCTAGATGAGCCATGAATATGGCCTCTTCTGAACCTATTCCTAGCCCAATATGCTTCCTTAAAAAACAAAACACTCATATTCATATGGAAGTATGCAAAAATACTAGTGCCACTTCATTTTTGAGCAAAAAAGAAGAAAGCATTATAACACCTGGCCTCAAAACATACTACAAGGCCATCTGTAGTAACCAATCAGCACAACAGTGAGAACCATTTCTGGGTAGAAGACCACAGAGAGACTTCTCAAATATTTGCATACAGAGATATGTACAATAGTATCCAAAGCAATATGGTTCATAATTTCTAAAATAAAGCCAGGAAACAACCAAATGCCCATGCCGGCAGGGCTGTAAATTGTGCCAAGTCACAAAAGTAAAAATAACATACACATAAGAGGAAACATCTTTGAGATAATCCTGAGTTTGGTGTGGAGGCCCAAAACTGTGAGCCTACTTCCATGTTGACCAAAAATCAGAGTTGGAACTTACCTCTATCCCTTCAAGTTATTGTTGTGTTTCTACCTCAAACAAAAGTCCAAGGATCTGACTAGGGTTCCAAACTATGGATGTAGCCCGCAACCTTCAATTGGTCTGTTCATTTCCTTGTATCATGTTAATGACGTTTCTTTGTCTTACTCCTTCCTATCTTTTGGGGTCAGGAGTATTTTAAGCAATTGAAAATTAAACGTGGCGATTTCAGTATTCACTGGAATTCCCTCCCAGTACTATCCTGTTTTTCTGCCTTATTATTTTTACATCTTTATATTCTTTACTATATTTCTAAACTGGTGAGTGGTATTTTTGTCGCTGTTGGTCCCTGACAGTTGGGGCCGAGAGGTGGCTCAGCGGGAGCCTGCTTCTGTGTAAGCATGCGGACTTGAGTTCAGATCCTCAGCATCCAGGTAAAAACCTGGGACAGCAAGACAGGGCTCAACTGTGGCCCCAGGGCTTGGTGGAGGCGGTTGGGGTGTGGGGAGACAGGCAGATCCTAGGAGTTCAATGGCCCATCAGTCTAGCCTAGTGAGCTGCAGCCAGGTTCAGTAAGATGCATTCTTGGAAAACAAGGTGGAGGGGCTCAGTCAAAAGAACATCACTGCCTCTAAGCACGAGACGTTACTCACATTAAAAGCCAGGCAGTGGTGGCACACACCTTTAATCCCAGCACTTGAGAGGCAGAGGCAGGCAGATCTCTGTGAGTTCGAGGCCAGCCTGGTCTACAAGAGCTGGTTCCAGGACAGACTCCAAAGTTGCAGAGAAACCCTGTCTCGAAAAATAAAAAATAAAAATAAAAATCAACAGCAAAAACCATACATGGTGGTATAAGGTTGTAATATGAAGTGTTTTGGGGAGGGGAAACCAGGCAGATCCCTGGAGCTTGCTGGCCAACTAGTCTAGCCTACTCGGTGAGTCCCAGACTAATGGGAAACACTATTTCAAAAAAAAAAAAAAAAGGGTGGATGGATGCTAGGCAGTGGTGGTGCACCTTTAATTCCAGGTAGCAGAAGCAGGTGGATCTCTGTGAGTTCAAGGTCATCTTGGTTTAAAGAGGGAGTTTCAGGACAGACAGAAAAACACTGTCTCAAAAAAAAAAAAAAAGGTGAAAAAGGTGAACAGGACAATAGGAAATGAGGAACAACACTTGGCCTCTATATGAACATGAGCACACATTCACAAGTGTGCAAATGCACTCATGCGCACACAAACACACTCAAGAGTCAGAAGACTAAATAATATACCATTTGTTTAAAGCTTAAAAGCAAGAGAAATAAACATTATGTCTGTGCCACCATGTATACATGGCGGTGAAACTCCCTTCTATAAAGGAGAGGAATGAG